CACATATCCTTTTGAAACAACCAATCGCTGTAATTTTGAAGACTGAAAAAAACAGTATCACTGATATTTAATTTGGCATCACATACACATAAATAATTTTTCAGTGGTCCAACTTGATTCTGAAATATTCTATACACATTCGGGCAACACATTTTTCCCAAGAGAATAATGACATCCGGGCATAAGTGCCAAACAGTGGAGTCTGAGTTTGTTTATTCTTGTTTATAAAATAAAAGGAGAACACAGAAAAATAAAAACAGCTACCTGACCCTGGACAAAGTTTGAAAAAGATACTGCAAATGGGCACTGCAAATGACAGAGGCGGCACTGGATAACAATTCAGAGGAAATAGTTTGGCAACAGAACCTAGTTGAAATCCTGATTTTGCTATGTATTGTTGTGAGACTCTGGAAAAGCCACTTAACATCACCAAACTTAAATTTCACCACATATAAATTAAGGATAATACCTACACTTTACGGTGTTCTGAAGACCAAATACATAAAGGTATATAAAATACCTAACCACTGGCCATTACACAGCTATTGTTACTATTTCAAATGTAAGGAAAAAGGAGATTAGCCAGACGCCAAAATAAGCCAACTAAATCTGAAACTTGAGTTAGGGCTTCTATCAAGGGTGGCAAACAACAATTTCTACTTCCTTCAAGTTCCAGTGTCTAAGTTAGCAAACACACTGGTAAAACGTCATCCTTCTCAGTAAGATTTGATTAATACTGCATGAATTGAGTAAATTTACAAGACTTAGTTTTATGTGCTTTGCTGAGTAAGTGACTACAGTCATCACAGAATTTTTTTTTTTTTTTTGCAACCACCAAGGATTGCTTTTGGTAATTACTCACTTCTCTTTCCACACAGAGAACATTTGCACGAAATGTTCAATTAGAAACTTGTAAATGGCAGGCGTTAGCTGCTTAACAGAGAAAAAAATTAGACAGGGAACTGTTTAATGACCTCTGATAACCTTATGTGTGCTCTCAAGAAAGATGGCCCCAGAGAAGACTAAGATTAATTAACTAGATAATCTTTAAGTTTTTCTAGACTCAGCACACAAAAAGGAGATCCCAAGGAAAGGAATATGCCTTCCTTTGCTTTTTTGTTCAAATACAGCCCGTGTCTATATTGACACTTTCCCACTACGGAGAACAATGAAAGCTAAAACACCACTGAGCTTCAGTTCCAGAACTTACTATGCTGGGTGTGGGTTGAAGCTGGAGGAGAACAAGCAGGAATTTTGCCTCTTCTTACTTTAGGCAAAAATGCAGGACAGACACTCTTAAAAATAAAAAAAATTAAAAATTATTAAAACCTTCTAGTTAATATTTATCTTCTTTAAGAAAAAAATATTATAACTTCTGGGCTCGGCACCTGTGGCTCAAATGGCTAAGGCACCAGCTACATACACCTGAACTGGCAGGTTCGAATCCAACCCGGACCCGCCAAACAACAATGACGGCTGCAACCAAAAAATAGCCAGGCGTTGTGGTGGGCGCCTGTGGTCCCAGCTACTTGGGAGGCGGAGGCAGGAGACTCGCTTGAGCCCAGGAGTTGGAGGTTGCTGTGAGCTGTGATGCCACAGCACTCTACCCAGGGGGACAGCTTGAGGCTCTGTCTCACAAAAAAAAAAACTTCTGATATAACCCTGAAATGCTAAATTTAAAAGGTCTTTTTATGCAACCCAATTGAGGGAAATGAACTCTTTAAATTTTAGGACCGCAGGAACGTTTGCCGGCATCACTCCCGACATCCAGGATGCTGTGCTGCTGCCGCTGCCGGTCTCGGTCCACATCCCGACCCTACCAAACCCCAACTTCCCTACCCCAATCTTCCGGCCACCGAAATTACAAGAGGAAAGGAAAGGAGGCAGAATCCCCTCCATTGCTCAAGGGATTCTCCTTTCTTAGACAATGGAACTCCAGCCGCAGAGAAACGGTAGTACTCTCTAAAATTCCAAATGAGACAGCAGATGTCATAGAGGACAAGGAAAACCACAGCAATAGACTGATTAAAGTTGTTGTCTTGTACGGCTTCCCCTCCACCCCCAAGAACAGACTTGGTGAAGAATTCCTTCTCACTAACTTATTTATAGGCACAAGTGCAACAAACTTCTGGTCTTATAAAACACTTTCTTTTAAAAAGCCATTCGTTTATCTTGACTAACAGATATAGTCAAGTCTAAGGCATGACTCTGAAACCCTAGAAACCACTTTAAAAGATGACAGGCTTATGATTCTCAAACTGGAAGGAATACAATAAGCACATAATTTAGAAGCATCCTTACTGCTAATCACACAGCAGTTTCACTCAGGCTCACTCAGTTATCACCACCGGAGATCCTTCCAACAAAAGGCAAAGCCGTGGTCCCAACCTTGTGGTTAACGGAGTCTGCATATGCTTACTGACATTTACAGATCTTGCGGCGCCTTGTGAAGAAAGTACAGTTGGGCTGTATTTTTTCTTCACCTTGAATGGGCAGTGAAAGAAACCTGACCAGCCAAATACACTGACAACCCAGTGAACTAGCTAAATGCTGAGGGAGAGAAAATGGTTCCTAAACTAGGCACTGGAGTCTCTGAACTTTTTAAAGAATACATATCCCTGAGCCCCTCCCCTCTTTAGCTTTACTAAATCCTTAACTCAAGAGAACTAGGAATCTATATTTTTCACAAGCAGAATCCACTCACCTCCCCCTCCAAGTAATTCTTCAATCAAGTGACTTTGAGAACCACAGAAATAAGGGAACAACTGAAGGAATCGTTGGATTTCATCATGTGCAATTGGGTTCCTTTTCACAAGTACCTAACCACCATGACGCTAACATCATGAATGCATTGCATGGTACTGTGATACTCAAATCTTAACTTTTCAGCAAAGACACAAAAATCATGGGTTTTGTGAACAGTAGATTAGCTTTAGAGCTATCATAAAGCAACATAACCAACAAAGGATGCCACAAAC